GTCTCTAATCCTGTTGCAACAGCCCAATCTGATAACTGCTTCTGAGACTTGGTAGCCTCAGAGGTCGCCCACTTCAATGCTGACCCACCGAACAGGGCCACAGTGGACTGCACCTTGTTAACCTCTGGGCAGATGAATCCCCTCAGATAGGACTTCATTGAAGCGATCCAATCTGACACATCCACTTTGGCGTCATCACCAGTGAATTTGTCAGGTTGCATCATCTTGGGGAAACGTTGTTCTTGATGGCCTGAGCTGCCAGCACCCAGTCTGAGATCCTAAGGGACAACCTGTTGCTTATTAGGCGAAGCAAGCTTTCCCTTGGGAGAAGGGGGTGGTGTTGCAGGGGGAGTAGGGACCGATTTAGGTTCGGTTTTGACTAATTGACGAGAGGTAGAGGTAGCAGAGTGGGGAGAGGTAATGAGATCTTGCCTRATTCGATCCAGGGACTCTACAATAGAAGACTGTTTGGCTTCAACTGTAGTCAAATGGTCTTCTATTGCAGCAGCCCGGTCCATCCAGGCAGTGAGGGCATCTTTGACTGAAGTGAACCCCAAACGGATCCACTAAGCCAACTTCCTGTTAGTGTCACTGAATCTTTCATCAGATTCAGCGGCCAAGAAATGTTCTKCCATCACTGCTCGTCTGGCTTCATTCTGAGCCTTTAGGTCTCCTTCATCCTTCTCTCTCCTCAGATTCTCAATCCTCTTGCGACTTTCCTCTACARCCGCCTCTTCCGTCTYAATCTCCAGCTCAATGGCGGTTTTGGGAACTACAGGATCCTTGCCTTTGTCATTCCCAKAACCGCCAGAGGCTGCGCCGTCAGCTATACCCAGTTAATAAATAAAAAATTCCCCAAAAAAATAAAATAAAATTCGGATTAGAGTTCACACACAGAACAACAATCTAATCAGAATCAGGCTGTACTCTTTACTCAATTTGAGGGAAGGGTTAGGACAGATAGCAGATTAGTACTTCGTGTCTGTAGGCATTCAGGGAGGTTGCAGACAACGGTCAACAGCAAAACAACATTTGTTCACTTTTACCGCACGCCCAACCAATCAGAAAAAAAACAATACTTTCAGACAAGATCCCTACCGGATCTTCCCACGAACACCAGCACGCTTAGCAAGGCAAGAACACCCGAGTCCATACGCAGAAAAAAAAAAAACTGCGGCGGGACGCCGTTCGTTTCGCAGAAATAAAAATAAAACCTGTAGTTTGCAGGCTGCAAACCAGCAGGTAGACTGTGTGGACTTGATTAGACTGACAACACAGCATTACTGCGCGGACCGTTCTGACACGACTGACAGACCACTTTTGGACTGACTGCTCTGCACTAACACTAGATCTGACACGGCAGACTATGACAGGACAGATCAACAGGCAGCACGGAAAACTCAAACACAGCCTGTGCGCAGGCTCAAGACCCACGGTCAACTGCAGGCAAGGTCAGAGGGGGGTCAAACCGTTGACAACCCACTGACGACACAGACTGACAACAGTCACCGACCTCCCGACAGGCCACAGACTGACAGACCCGACAGACCAGTTCTGACAGACTGACGGACTGACGTCGGAGGGACAGGTCGCCGGAACGAACTCACTCAATCAAGGTCTTGATTGGAGATTGCGGCCGGTCAGCGCCCAAGCTGAATACTCGCCGCAAGTCCCAATCAATTGTCGCAGATTGAATTGTCGGCGTCTCTTCTGCAAAATCTGAGCCTCAAGTGGTCGTCCAATACCGGTGGCTGGCCAAGCAGGCTGATCCTGCCACTTTGAGGGTTGTCGTGCCCTCAGGTCGCCTGCCCACTAATTAGGGTTGACGTCCTAATTAGTGTCGGGGCCAACTCAAGTGCAATCAGACTCGTTCTCAAACACACTTTTCATGCATGTAAACAGCAACGCAGCATACTGGCGACATGCGCCCACTCAAAACTCAGAGATATGGCTTTCAGATACGAATTCACTCTCAATTGACTATTGCGACTTCAACGGCCAAACATCTCACTGTTCACATACACTGGATCACCCTGGATATCCTACACGCATCACTCTAACACTCGAACACACACACACACTCACTACTAACTACAGCTATGGCAGCTATCGCTGCATCTAACCTATCGCTATGCTACCTCCCTCTCTCTTGCCCTCTGCGTCCTCCGGGCTCATCTGCAGACCTCCTTGCACAAGTCGCTGTGGCAGCGCTTCCGCATGGCTCACGCAGGAATGAATGAATGGCTGGGCTCTGCCTCTTGATTTATACTTCAGAAACTCGTTGGTCTGCCCTTTGCCATCAGCCCTTGGTGCTCACAGTCCCCCTGTGGTACTTGCTGGACCGGACTGGGACTGACTGGACCTTCCGCTGACTGATTGTGGACTCACCGCAATCCTACTGACGCTGTACTACTGTTGCACTGCGGTTTAGTCCACCACTTGCCTCGCCACTTGACCACTTGCCCACTTGCCTACCTTCTAGAAGGTCTACAACTAAGCTTTCGGAACTCACTAAGACTTCTACGCTATAGACCTACAGATCGAACTCCTGTTGCCTATGGACCTACGACAGACCTATCAACTATCTGCGAATACACAGGTCACAGGTTCAATTCTCGGGATCTCTACAGATACTGTACATAGGTAGGGTGAGGTCTAGGGATCGAACCCTGGGTACTGCATCCGCTACCGCTAAAAGGTGAAAACCGTTTCACTCCCGGCGTCCTAAATTCGAGGTCCTCCGAGAACATTTCAGTCCAAGGCGGGACCTTTACCTCTCTTGTCACGTTCATAGGCTCTGACTATGTCGGGAACTGTTTCTAGAAGTTCTGTTTTTGTGAACCAGCGGTCGTCTTCTGGTTCCTGATAAGCAAAACGGACCTTATATTGTTTCTGGGGAGGACCTTTACCTCCTGTTCTGAACACATCCTCGTCTACAATGCCTTCAATGTCATAACTTCCATCCATATCCGGGGGGATCATGGATCTTCTCGAAGGAAACAATTGACTTGTGACACATGGCAGCAGCTTTGAAGCATGAAACACAGGGTATGTGTGGAGGTGTGCTGGAATCTCTATGCTATAGGACGGTCCATCCTCTCCGCCCTTGACTTCTAGAACCGGCCACGGTCCTCTATATGCGGGCAGTAACTTCTGCGAGATGTTTTCTTCAGGTGCAAACTCTTTAGCCTTGACCCAGACTAAGTCGCCTACCTGAAACTGCGACGGGCGACGATGCTTATTAGCTTGCTCTATCATCCTATGTTGGGCCTTCCTGAGGTTTTCAACAACAGTGGCTAGTTCTTTCTCGTGTTGTATCGCAAACTCCCTGGTACCGGGCGGTAGTCTGTGAATCTGATCCCGGTTCAGTCCTTCGAACGGTCTGCGTGGTCTAAAGGACTTATGCAACTCATTGGGAGTGCGGCAGGTGGATAGATGTACGCTGTTGTTGTATGCACTAGCTACCTTAGGCAACATCTCATCCCAGTTTATCTGATCTGGCCTAATGTACATGCGCAGAACTTGCTGTAGGATCTTGTTCATCTGTTCTGTCTGACCGTTTGTCTCTGGATGTCGGCCAGATGACATTAACAACTTAGATCCGTAAACTCTTATGAGTTCTTGCCAGTTCTGGCAGGTGAAACGACTATCTCTATCACTAACTATTGACAATGGGATTCCGTTCTCACTAACCCAAAAGTCAAAGAACTTTTGTATCACTAAATCTGTACGTGCCTCTGCAGGCAAGGGAACAAAAACTGCATACTTACTAGAACGGTCAACTATGACCATGACTTGGCTTTTACCATGTCTGCTCTTGACTTGAGTGTCCATGAAGTCTATGGACACTGAGTCCCCCGGCTGATCCGAAATAGGCAAGGGTCTGAGAAGACCTAGGGGTGCGCGTGTTGTAGACTTATTCCTTTGGCATACTTTACAACTGCGAACATACTCTATGCAGTCATTCTTCATTCCGGGCCAGGTATACGCGCGCATTAGATTGGCTAATGTCTTTTGCAAACCGAAGTGTCCCTCAGTATCGTGGCATTCCCCTAGGATCAGACTACGAATCTCTTCGCTGTTGGGAACGCACAGGCGGTCAAACACATTAGTTTTCTCAAACAGCAACCCGTTTGTAGTGCGATAATCCGGTTCGGTCTCTGGGGCCTCTTTAACTCTCTGTAGGAGGTCGTTATAGATAGGGTCCTGCGCATATGCGTGCTTCACTTTCTGTTGCAGGTTGCTCCCTATATGCAGATAGTGTACTACAGCTCCAAAGTAGTCCGATCTCCTACTCAGAGCATCCGCAACTATGTTGTATTTGCCCTTCACTGGCTTGAGCTCAAAGTCGAATTGGTCTATCTCTGCGGCCCACCTAGTCAACTTAGGTGTCATCTTGGCCGGAGTCTTTAACCATCTAAGTGTTTCATGGTCCGAATACACTTTGAAGTGCCTCCCAAGCAGGTAGTGCTTCCAATGGTCTAAAGCCTGCCTGAGAGCGTAGAGTTCTCTCTCGTACGTGGAGGTAGCGACCTTTTCACAGGGCATCCTCGCTGACATGAACTCTACGGGTCTATAGCCATGGCCGTCATCTTGCTGTAATACGGCGCCTATCCCATACTGACTTGCGTCCGTGGTGACGACAAATGGCAAAGATGGATTTGCAACCTTGAGGACAGGATACTCTATTAACGCGCGCTTTAACTTTTTGAGCGCAGACATACAATCTTTGTCCCATTGCCAGATTGCCTCTTTCTTAAGCAACCTGCGCAAGGGAGCGGCGATAGTAGAGAAGTTCCTCACGAACTTCCTGTAGTAGTTAGCTAAGCCTAGGAACGACCGCAACTCGGTCAATGTGCGAGGCGTCAACCAATCTCTAATCGCCGCTATCTTGCTGTCCTCTGGCTTAATGCCATCTCCGTCTAATACGTGGCCCAAATACAGGACTTTGACTCTGGTGCTCTTGGAGGGTCTTACTAAAAACGAGAATATCATCTAAGTAGACTACTACAAATTTATCTAACCACGGTCTAAACAGATCATTCATACAACGCTGAAAAGTGGTTGGCGCATTGGTTAGTCCATCACTATAAACTCATAGTGCCCATATCTAGTCCGGAACGCAGTCTTGTACTGATCATCAGGATGGACTTCTATCTGATGGTATCCGGACTTCAAGTCTATTTTGGAGAAATACTTGCAACCCTGCACCCGATCTAAGAGGTCGTCTATCCTGGGCAGTGGCTCAACATTCTTTACAGTGATCGCATTCAAACCCCTATAGTCTATGCACATACGAAGCTCTCCTTCCTTCTTGGGGACAAACAAGACTGGTGCTCCAAAAGGAGATGAACTGGGCCTGATCCAACCTTTCTTTAGGAGCTCATCTAACTGCTTGCGAAGCTCCTCTAACTCCCTGGGGGACATTCTGTAGACTGCACCCTTAGGAGTTCTATTGTCGGGCTCTATCTCTATCCTGTGCTGGATAGGTCGCGACACTACTCCTGTCGGCGACTCAGTCAAGTCTTTGAATTCTTCCAGCAACTTGGCTATGGTTGTATCTGTGGAACTTATCTCTTCCTTGCCCTCGGTGACAGGTCTAACATACACTACAAAGACTTGTTCCTCTAACTGCTCCTTTTTTACTAATCGCGCGAATGCGGGAGCACTGAGACAGCAATGTGCCAAGGTGTTATCTACACCAGACACATGGAACAAGCGGGCAGTCTTAACCTCGCCTGACGGACTAGGGAGTCTACACTCATGCTCTCTCAAATGAAGTGTGGCCCCTGCTGTCTCTCCCCAATCCAGTCCTAACACTATATCAAAAGGAAGGTCATCCTGTACGAGGAGAGTCGGGGAATGGAAAACTTTCTCCACCTTCCCATCTTTCTCTAGGGGAAAATACGCCTGGACTCCCTCTACATAGTCCTCAACTCGCATCGTGCTGTTGTCTGCAAGGACACTGACTATGGGGTCTGCCAATTTCTGGACTTTTAATCCTAGCTTCAGCTTCTTCAGCGCCCTACGACTAATATACCTGCGGGTGGCCCCTGAGTCTATGAGGGCCCCTACTCTGCTTCCAAAGACTTCTACATCTACCAAGATCAGTTGTCCTTTACTCTCTTTCTTCATCTTGGCCCAGACTGGCATTCTCTCCTTCAACTCGTCTGCCACACCTGTGAGGGACGTGCCTAAAGAGACGCTAACACAAGCAGTCTCTGGACAACTATCTAGGCACGGGCCTGCAACCTCTGCCATAGGTTCATGTGGGTTGGGAGTGTCCTGTTCGCGCGCGCTCACTTCTCCACATGACCTTGAAGTAGGGGTAGTTGCTACCCCTACTGGCGGCTGCCTTTTGACTGTTGGGCAGCCCAACGGGCCTGTCTATACTTAGGACAATATTTAATTATGTGCGCCGGGTCACCACAGAAAATGCACTGACCCATGTTCACGCGTTCCTGCCATAATCGCTGGTCCAAGCCCGAGTCTTCCCAGGGCCTGCCCTGTGGCAAGCTTGGGTGCCATCCTCCTTGAGGTGTTCTTCCACCTCCTCGCTGTGGGGACCGATTACCCTGACGATTTAATGGGGGACCTTGACCCCTACCTCCCGCTTGGCGGTTTCCTTGGCCGCCAACCCCCTGCGCGCCCGGTCTTTGGCCTCCCATGGCCTGGCCCCTTTGGCCCTGGCCTCCTCCTCTACCTTGCGGCCTCCCTCCAGCCGCGACAGCAGCATAGGACCTCCCTTGCCCCACACTACTGCCATCATCCTCGAGGCCCCACTCGATCTGACTATACGGAACCTCGTCTGTACCGCCYTCCTCTAAGGTAAGGATCATATGATCCTTGGCCTTGACTTGGCCAGAGATGGTACGCCCTTTCCACCCTTTTCCCTTCTCCAAGTCTTTGTGCCAGAAGGTGGTAACTGGCATAGACTTTGACTTATACAGGACGACTTCCCTACTGAATGCATCATATGTGATGCCGGCCTGTTGAGATTTGTCAAAGAAATGCCCGCGCAGGGCCTCTGGTATGGCACGATAAAACAATTGGACCAACTGGGTCTCAGTGACCCCATGGTCCGGGACGGCCACTAAGTTGTCATGGTACCCTTGAGTGCCCTGACACTCCTCCACTGCCGTGAGTGGATCGTTTGCAGCTTGTCAGAGGCTCTAATGCCTCGCGTTGGGTCAGCGAAACGCTCCTTGAGGAGCTTGAGGAATTGGGAAAGAGGGGTGACTTTGGAATATGGAATCAGGTTGTTTTCACAACCGGTTGTACGCACAAGAGACCTGGCGAAACTAGCCGCTTCATCTTTGAGGGCCTGGAAGGCCACGAGGACATGTTCCTCAATCAGGATGTGTTGTAAGTAAATATAACTATTGACATTGGCTTCCCAGTTGTCAAAGTTTTCTTCCTTCTTTCCCCCGTTTGCATCTGGGAACTTAAGTTTCACTGGGTCCTTACGGGGTCTGGCCTCTCCCTCTACAACGGCTACAGCTTTGGCACCCTGAATGGCGCCCTCACAGAACTTCCCTACATTGTCTCTCAATTGCTTAACTTCGCCCCCAATATGGGTGACGATCTCGCGCGCAAAGTCTCTAAACCCTGACCGCATGGCACTTAAGGCTACATCTTGGCTCCAGCTAGCGTGGCGCTCTTCCATCCAGGCCTTGCTCAACACTTCCAGGTACCCCAGTACCTTGTCCCACTTGGCCTTATCATCCGGCTGGGCCAACACCTCCTGCCTGCACGCTTGCACCTTCGCTACCTCTGCAGTCATTTTACTCACTTCCTCTCTCCTCCTCTTCTTCTCTCGCTTCATCCTCAACTTCCATGCCAATTTTTGCTCCTCCTCCCTTTCTCGCCTTTCCATAGGATCTGTCATTGTTGCTAGCTCACTGGCTAGCGCAGCCCTCTCATCCTCAGTCACATAGGACTCTACCTCCTCCTCTTCACCCAACGATAAATTAGCGACCCACTCGCTGATCTTCTTCTCCATCTCAATATCCGTCTCCCTCACCATCGTGCCACCACTGCTCCCTTCTCCACTCTCAATCCTCATTCTCTCGTTCTCTTCTTCTGCTGCCGCTTCTGCTTCAGCARCTTTTCTTCTTTCTTCCTCCTCTTGTTGTACCCTCTTCATCTCCTCCTCCAACCTCTTTATCTTCGTCGCCTGCTCGTCTGCGATAGCCTTTAGCTTCGCTTGCTTCTGACGCTCTTTTCTCTCCCTGTTCTCTCTGACTAAGGCGGCCATCTTTTCTTGCTGCTCCTTGCTATAGGGGCTAGTCTCTAACCCAGTACGGGTCTCAACCATGGTGATAGGTGCACAATCAGGACGATTCCACTCCTCACCATCTAGACTCTAACCCCTGACTAACAACCTAGGTCTCGCAGAATCCGGACAGGGATCCTGTCAACTATGGTCTCTAGCCTAGACCTAACTACGACGGTCACTACTGAACCAGTTGCTGATCAGGAGGCATTTAGTGAGATCCCCCGTAACTCCGCAAGAATTTTTTAACGTCGCAGACAGGACGACGTGATCATCTTGGTTCTGCCTGCGCTTTCAACCCACAACTCAGCCTTTCCGGCCTACTGTGCCACACCAAGCAGCCCGCCGGTCTGTACCGGTCCTTGGGAGGGTTTGACCTCCGGGACAGTTGAGTCGTCAGACACAGATCCTCAGCCTTACTTGGTCCGGTAGGGGAGTGGTTCAAACAGGCCGTCAACACTTAAAGACTGCCTGGTGTGTCAGCCCTAACTGCCGTTCAGGCCCACTAAGTCCTACCAACCGTTTCCAGCCGGTCAGCACCGGTCCTTGGGAGGGTTATGCCCCCCTGGAAAGTTGGATCAGCCACAGTCTCAGCCCTACAGGGTCAGACTAGGGTTTCTTCATCCAAGCCCTATCCTTCATCCACAGAGTACTATGACCTAGGACAAAAGAGACTCAATGCAGAAAGATAGACAGACTGACTTGACTCAGCAAGTACCAAGGGGTGTGTGCACATCCGCAGGGCAAGGGATAGGCTGAAGGCTTGGCGAGATGTTACCAACTCCAGCTTGGTCAAAGTCTTGGTCAACGCCTTGGTCAATGGCCTTGGTCAACTCTGGTCAACACTGCTATGACCCTTGGTCCACCCTCGGTCAACTCCAGTCAACGCCGTCAACGCCTCTGGTCAACCCTCTCGGTCAACCCCCCGGTCAGTTATGGTTGCCGGGTCTCCTTCCTCGCCAACCTTCTTCTTCTTCTTCACCTCCCTCGCCTCTTTTCACCCCGCTGTCTTCTTCTTCTCTTTCTCGCTTTTTTTTTTTTTTTTGATCGGCCTCCTCTTCACCTCTTGGCTATGGCCGCTCTTCTACTTCCTCGGTCTCTCCCCCTCTGTCCTTCTCCCTCCTACTTCGTCACTCCGTGGTACAGGCTCTGCGGCTATGGCCGCTGTCTTTCTCCTTCGTGGACTGCGCAGCAACTTCACAGGTACGTAACAGCCAATCTTGTATCGCTCATCTCTCTCTCTCTCTCTCTCTCTCTCTCTCTCTCTCTC